TGACAGAGTGTCTCAAAGATATAAAATGCTGGATGACGCGTAATTTAGTGCTATTAAATTCAGATAAAACGGAGGTATTACTTATTGGTCCAAAAAACTACTCACAAAACCTCTCACAATACAACTTTAATATAGACGGATGTCCTGTTACTTTATCCACTACAGTAAAAGACCTGGGTGTTATACTAGACCGCAACTTGTCGTTCGAAAATCATATTTCATATGTTACAAGAACAGCCTTTTTCCACCTTAGAAACATTGCTAAGCTGCGTAACATGCTATCTGTTTCTGATGCAGAAAAATTAATTCATGCATTCATGACCTCGAGACTAGATTACTGTAATGCTTTATTAGCTGGTTGTCCTGCATCCTCAATAAACAAGCTACAGTTAGTACAAAATGCAGCTGCTAGAGTTCTTACTAGGTCAAGAAAATATGATCATATAACACCGATTTTATCATCTCTACACTGGTTACCTATTAAGTTCCGCATCAACTACAAAATACTACTACTGACCTATAAAGCCCTAAATGGTTTAGCACCTATGTACTTAACGGACCTTCTTTCGCCCTACAATCCACCGCGTTCCTTAAGATCACTAAATTCAAGGCTTCTGGTCATTCCTAGGATATCGAAGTCCAGTAAAGGAGGGAGGGCGTTCTCGCATTTAGCTCCAAAACTCTGGAATGGCCTTCCCGATACGGTCCGAGCCTCTGACTCGCTGACACAGTTTAAAACTAGATTAAAGACGCTTCTCTTTAGTCAAGCATTCACATAATGCTTACCTTCTAGTCCTCTGTTATGCCATACGGAACCGTTTGCCACTGAAACTGCTTAACGCACCAGTGGGGCTCGACAGCCTTTTAGACAAACGGGTCGGCGCGTATGGTTGGGTTGCGGAGAGTTCAGGTTACGGAGAGTTTGTGAGTTATAACGGAAATCATTATGAACATCAGCTATGCTAATTATTTCCCATCTGCCTTTCTGCTGTTATCTCGGGACGCTTGTCCCGAGAAAAATGACGTTCGTCAGGTCCAGTTTTGTGTCCAGCCTCTCACGGGGATTTCGGATGCCCCAACGCCTGTGATGAGACGACTCAACGCCTGTGAAGAGACGACTCAACGCCTGCGATATGTTATGGCGCCGTTTGATTCATAAACAATATTTATATTTAATATTTATATTTAAACAATATGAATGTAAGCCAGAGGAGAACTGGCCCCTGACTGAGCCTGGGTCCTCCCAAGGTTTTTTCTCCATCCAATCTGATGGAGTTTGGTTCCTTGCCACTGTCGCCTTGCTTTTGGCTTGTTTGGAGCTTGCTCAGTTGGGATTATTTAGTGTTTAGCAATGTTGTTGATCTGTGTTGTGCTACTTTCATGTTATCAGTGTGAAGCTGCTTTGATACAATCTGTATTGTGAAAAGCGCTACATAAATAAATGTGACTTGACTTGACTTGACTATGATAGGGGCTCTTTAAAGGCTAACGTTAGCTATCTAAATATTTTTTGGGGGAAGAGGGCGAAAAACACACATTAACGGCTCAAATCTTGTTACAAACTATCTTTACAAATATTAAATGGACTATTCATATGTTGTATCGATGAGCTAAATTAGTTTTATTAAAAAATAAATCAAATGAGTAGGCTACTACGATTCGCTAAATAAAATTGAAGATAGCCTACTCACGTTTTGCCTTAAAGGATTAGTTCACTTTTGAAAAAACTTTTGCTGATAATTTACTCACCCCCATGTCATCCAAGATGTCCATGTCTTTCTTTCCTCAGTCGAAAAGAAATTTATGTTTTTGATGAAAACATTCCAGGATTTTTCTCCATATAATGGTCTGAGGAATGCGGGACTCTGGGTGCAGGGGGACTGTAGATGCAGGTCTCCGAGTCTGCAGCTTCATACTACTCCTCAGATGTGTGCGCACACAGACGCGTGCAGACAAGGATTTCTGTCACGCGCAGGTCAGCTTCTGTTTTCGGTTAAACTGTGTTGCTTTTACAAGCATTGATTCAATTGTTTTATTAATGCGTTGCAAATAGATCATTAATATAATTACCCTATAATATAATTTAATTAAATACACTGAAATATAAAATAAATTGTTAAACTCAAACTTTTACACAGATTTACTGGGGCACAGCAGATTAGTGTACAGACACATTCACTGTGTTGCACATTCTCATTTCTTAATTTTCTGCCATTCTAAAAAATTTTTATGTTAATATTTAAACTTTCATTGAAATATAAAGACAGTGCTGCAAGTCTGATCAGTAAGGACATTAAAGTATGGACATGACTGTTCAAAAGTTACTGGAAACATTTTGTTGCAGTTATTGCTGATGTAATCAGCGTTGACAGCCTGTTTTTTTTTTTTTTTGTAATGTAATTATGTTTTTGTTATTTCTTTTGAGGACCTTGTAAAATCTTCTTACCTTAGGGCTTAACAAATATTCTGCAGCCATTGATTGTACATCCAATGGCTTTGAAAGCATAATATCCAGCACTAACGTTATACCAGAGTCACGTTAGAAGAAGAAAAATCAATGAATAAATAGAAACCTGGACCGGAATAAATATGTTAGCAACAGTAGTTTATTACAGATATTTAATATCATGCCTATCCAGACATCACCAGTCACGTTTAATGAACGCATTGTTTGGCTCAACACAGTTGGTAATATAGGTTAACCTAAGAACTTATTGTGTGTGCAGAGTTGTTACTGTTAGCGCTATATTATATAAGTATATGAAATGTGGTTTCCCACCGTAATGGACCGCTGCTTCCCCTTTCTACCAGCAGGTGGCAGTATTTAAATGACTGACTGTATGGTGTCTTTGGTAACTGTTTTAAATCAAGACTACTGATACAGATATTGTTGTTCCTTTTATTTGGTTTTTGATTTTATTTGCCTAGTTATCATCAACATTCATCCAGCCCAGAGTTAAACCTGCTTCTGTTTTAACCTGATTCTAACTATGATGTCATCTACACAGATGCATTTTAATTTTTGCAAATGATACATTATTATAAGAAAAAAATATATAAACATGAGGGAAATCATTGTTGTGTCCATGACGATGGGAAACATAGGCATAAAGATTACACATTTACCCAAGTTATAGGCTATGCATGTTTAACCGAAGCTAATTTGGGTGGGTTTGTCCCATCCCCAATGTCCCTTCTCTTACTTTTACGGCCCTGACGAGAACGATCTCCTCGGCTGTGTGAACCGATTGTGAAGTGCGTCTGGTAAATGCGCCGTTAAAATAGAATTGCGCCATGGAACAAGCGCACCTCGTTCTTCATGTTCTTAAAGGGAATGTGATGACGCTCTTATTGGTTTATTTCTGTTACGCCCAAACCACACCTATGAATAATGAAGCTACCCCAGAACAACCCCTTTTAGATTTGCGCCAGGCACAAGAGGCATTTATCCCACCGGGAAAATAGCAACAGCGCCGGGATCTGCCAACCCGATCTCACGACCAAGTCGTACTAATTCGACGAATGATTAAAAAGTGGCTAATTCGTAACAATTAGTACGAGCGAGGTCGTACGAATTAGCCACTTTTTAATCATGCGTCGAATTCGTACGAGAGATAGTATTGGATCTGCCCACAACGTTACTTGTGTTACAGGCCCCACGCGGAGGGCCAGGTATACAGATGAGAAAAATCCTGCGAAATAACAGGAATAATTGATGAGACAGGAGCCACCGCACTCAAAAAAATGATTCAAGGCCTTCTTAGAGGTGACACATTTAAAAACAATTTGATTTATGTAAATATATCTATTTAAGATCATATGTATATATATTTAAGTGGTCTAACTAAAAATTTATTAATAGCTCCACCTATGAGATTGATTTACGTTGGATCGCCCAAAAAAAGTTTCATGTGGGACCGCCCTTTGCGCATGTGCGAGTCAGCGCGGTCTTTTCGCCCATCTCGTCTCATTCTCTCAGTGCAACGCCAAGGCAGAGGGTGGACGAGAGTACGTAAAGGCGAATATCTACTACTTGGTAAGTATTCATTTGTTGATTAGAAAGTATCTTACTGTCAATTATCATTAATACAGTAATATAGGCTGAGATGTGTGCATCAGTTAACGTTAAGTGAGCCTAATTTCACTCTTCAAAGCTGAAGGGAGTTGCTTGCTAAGGTTAACTTTGGTGGTTAAGTGCTACTTTTGTACTTTAAGGTTAGTCACGTTGACTGCTTTGGTTAAATTATGTGTTCACTACTCTTCATCGCCGCAATTTCGGACGAGAGATGCCGAATTTCTGTTGTTTGTGTGTCTAATTATGGTCGCGACAAGCGTTAGCAGCCAAGGTCCAAAGTCCAAAGCAAAGCCGTCAACCGACCGGGCGCGTTGGACACTGGGTAATGTTATGCGTTTTTTTCGCCATGTGTCATTAATGGCGGCCAGTGTTATATTATTTTCGTCAACGACGTTTTTTTTCACAGACGAAAACGAGACGATAACTAAATAAAACCTAGTTTTGAATGACAAAAACTATGACGAAAACCTAATGACATTTTCTATTGACAATAAAAACGACGAAAATGTCAAATAGTGACTATTTGGGAAGCGACCCATAAGAAATTTTACCATGGTATTTGTACCATGGTACAAATACCATGGTACTAGTACCATGGTATTTTTGTCAGTACCATGGTACATGTACCATGGTATATTTATAGTACCATGGTACATGTGCCATGGTATATAATAGTATTTTTAATAGTACTTGTACCATGGTACTATTAAAAATACTATTAGATATACCATGGTACATGTACCATGGTACTATTAAAGTACCATGGTATATATAATAATATTTTTAATAATACAATGGGACATGTACCATGGTATATATATATATTTACCATGCTTTTTGTACCATACAACTGTCAATTTACAATGGAACATGAAATTAAATATTTAGCTCAGGCAAATAAAAACACAGTAACTGTAATTTCTTTCACATTTTATTTTTTATTTTTTCCCCCCCATAGATTTAGGATTTTCTTTTCACAATCTTAGCCGCATTCGATAGCTTCTGGCGGATGAATCCCTTTATTTCAGCATCGTTCTTTTCAGGGAAGACAGATTTAACTTCATCTAAAGAGAGAAAAGAAGTAAAGGAAAGGAGAACAGACAAGTTACAGATAGACACATAGACATACAATATATGGATGGCACATTACTGATTTCCACTGAAGAAAAAATACTTACAAATAATCTTCTTGACATCTTCATGAGGGAGTGATGGTCGTGTCTCCCCCTTACTTGATGATCCAAGCCCAGTCACACTGTGAGATGCCATGAATTCGGTGGTGTACAGACCATGCATTAAATCATTGGTATATTTAGCTGCTGAGACCTTGTTGCAGCGGTCCTTGATTCCCTGTGGAATATCCTAAGAACATAAATTGGTATCACATTGGGTCATATTGCCAAAGCTTGTTCAGGAGATATCTAAATTCAAAGGGGACAACTAAATAAGTTAGTTAATCTTCCTAATTATCTCAGATTTCTATTTGCAGAAGTTCCCTGGTCCCACTTTGTATTATACTTCTGTTATTAGTGAATATAACTTACCAGACAGACAGCCACAGAAGAACACACATCCACAGGCAGCTGTGATCTGGAAGACTGCATACAGTATTTAAAAAGCACATAAGTATGTTACTCACAAGAAAGAGGACAGACATAAAAAACAGATTTGATTTATAACTAAGAAAAACACCAACATATAAAAGCTAATTCAAATGAACCATTAAACAGCAACATATATGTACCTGCAAACTGGGTCCAGCAGTTGAGGTGTGCGGCATACATGGTGCTTCTGCCACATCATTGTTGTCTTTCTGTATGCATTAAAGGGATAGTTCAGATATTTTGAAGTGGGATTTTATCAAAAATATGATAGTCATCTACTGTTATTTACTATCCATTTCAATTGAGTTTGTTTATAAAATAAACAATATTTTTTTACACATTGTAACTATAGCAGACATAAAGTACGGAGGCGTATTGCATTCACTTGAAAAAAAAAATCTACTCTGTTTTTCTGAATTAACGAGTTAATTTTTCATAAAAAAATTTGCTCTGTTTTTCTGAATTAATGAGTTAATTTTTCATAAGAAAATTTTTTTGCTCTGTAACAGAGCAAAAAAAAAATTCCATGAAAAATTAACTCGTTAATTCAGAAAAACAGAGCCAAAAAAAAAAAAATCCATGAAAAATTAACTCGTTAATTCAGAAAAACAGAGCAAAATATTTTTTTCTCATGAAAAATTTACTCGTTAATTCAGAAAAACAGAGTAGATTTTTTTTCTTCAAGTGAATGCAATACGCCTCCGTAATAAAGACATACAGTAGCAGATGAATATATATATATATATATATATGCGTGTGTGTGTATGTATATATATATTGTTTTATATTGTATATATTGTATATATATACACAGCATACCATGGTCCTTGGGAAAGATTGCTTGTTTGGCTGAGCTGAGATAAGCTGCTGCATTGATGAAATCATCTTAGGAAGACCTAGATTTATAGTGTCTGTTAGCAATTTATACTACAAAACAAGAGAAATAGTCTACAGCCCAGCATATTAACCATCTTTAGAAAGACCGTTTGGTGTTTGTATATGGCTGATAGTAATGTCTTTAGCTTTACAGGTTTTTAGTAAATCAAAGTATTTGTAAAGTTAAAAATACACATTACGGTTAATAACCAACTTACCTTCAATGATGCTCAAAGCATTCCTCAGGGAAGAATTTTCCCTCTCAAGTTTAGCAACCCTTTGCTCTAATGTCCTCACGTCACCCTCTTCATTGATGCTGTTTTTGGCCATTTGGTCTCTTGCCTATAATAACAAAATAACTTGTCTATAACAAAACCTTCAAATCATTCATTCACAGTTAAAATCAAATCCTTATAGATGTTATTATGTTTAAAAGGCAGTGGTGTACAGTACGTGCTAGAGTTCCTTTACTCTGAGTAGTTCTTTCACCCCTGTTAAATGGGTATGGCTATGTTAACTTGTCAAGCAAGGTCACTGTACATCGGATTTAGTATTTCTTAAAACAGATACCTTCTGAAGGTCCTTGTATTTTTTTATAATCTCAGAGGAAGAGGAGGACATCGCCGGCTTATTCTTTTTGCTTGGCCTCTCCTGACAACAGACAATAAAATACATACAAATGTCTGAGCGTGCACATATATACAGTTATGGTATTTGGATATTTTTAAATAATTTGAATAACTCACCTCTGACTGTTCCATGTCATCCTCAAGAAATGGCTTCTTCTTTTTTACCCTCTTGCCCTTTCCCATGTGCTTTTCCTGTTCTTCTCCATCCATGCCTTCCACCAGCCGGTTCCTCATTCGAATGAGTGCACCTTTGTCTTCTATCAAGAGGATCAAGATATTTGTTGCAATAAAGTACTATAATCATGCTTCATGTTTATAGTACATTGTTTAAAATAGGGCAGCATAATACAGGTAGACGTGACACAGTAGATCACGTTATATCATAGTTAAAAAAAAATATATATTTCTTTTTAACTATAAAAAAAGAAAAAAATAGATTTTTTTTCTTTTTTAAATAAAAAAAATATATATTGATATAATTGGAAAAAATATTAGTTAATTTTTTATTTACATATTTATAATTACGTTATTTTAATTTATTTTAAATATTGTAAGTTAATAACTAATCCGATTCACACACACCCCATGGTTGCGTTAATGCACATATTGTTTTGCCAACCGCTATTCTTTTTTTAGGCTTTGATAAACCTTAGTGCTCCCTAGTACTGTATGAAATCTCGTTTGCATCTATCTCCGTTAGTGCTACAGAATTATAGCCATTACAAGCCAGTCCCACTGAGCTTTCCTTCAGACGTGCCGTTGTCTGTAACTTAGATTCATGAGATTTTGCGGAGGAACACTGTTCTGTTGGACATATAAAAACCGGACAAATCGGCATCATATTGTAGTTATATGAGTACATTTACATTATATTAATACAAATGTAGAATGCGTGTTATTTCTTGATAACATACTGCTAAGGATAACACACCGTTGCCATGGACACATGTGACGCAATACAATCGTTTTAAAATCAATAAACTCCTTTTTAAATCAATATTTTGTGTAAAATTATTGATTTATTTGGTAGGTAACCCTGAAATAAGCTGGATGTAGATGGAGGCGGTTATAATAGCGCGATACAACCCACAACCCATTCAGGGCCGCTTCAGGGTTCGCCTCAGGGTTCGCTAGCAACCGCCTCCCTCTCCATTATCCCTTACATATTATATAATATTAACTTTAATTATATTTTATCCGCTATAATTATGTTTTATTAATCTCTATTCATCTTCTATTCATCTTTATTCATCAACTATATAGAATGTAAAGTTAGATTTCCTGAATATCCGCTGTGAGTGAAAATATTTACCATCAGTTGCCAATATCTTGGCAGTCCAAGCAGTCGTTTTTCCATTTTTAGACCACCATACCACATATTCTTTGTCCACATCTGGTTCATAATCACCCTCAATAAGGTTCAACCGGCCAACTTCAACTGTAAGGTTACTAAATTCATAAAGGGCGTACATATTTCCAAAAAGATTGTTTGTTTACGATTCCCACTGCGTCTACTCTCTGTATCCTAGGCAACAAGAGAAGCGGGAAAGTGTCAGGGTGCCAACACGCCTCGCCCTTCGCTCCGTTCTCCTTGGTAGACTGAAGTTCATTAGCAAAAACGGGATATGGTTACAACTTGAGAAAGATGTACAAAAGATTTTTGTCAGACTTAGATGTAGATATTCCAAGATCCACAAAACGATACCGAAATGCCCACAATGAAGCACGAGCACAGCGTGCGCCAGGTACGTACGTTTCTCTTCAGTGAGCATATTAGCAATTTGTTATAAATTAGCATTAGCTATTGTGACCCTGGACCACAAAATCAGTCTTATGTGTCCAGTTTAAAAAAGAGAGATTTATACCGAATAAATAAGCTTTCCATTGATGTGTGGTTTGTAATATTTGTCAATAAGTTTATTTCGATGAAAAATATCTAACAGCTGTTATTACCGTTACTCCCCCCTCAGATCAAAATGACGTCAGTGAAGAACAAAGATGCCTCAAGGTTTGAACAAATAGTAGTATTAGATATTTTATGTTGGCAGTGTAAAATAATTATTTTGACTTATAAATATGGGTGTGATGAGACACTTGGGTTACGAGACGAAACGTTGGGTTCACAAGAACGAGACGGGATCCTGCATTCTGGTGAATCTGCACCAATATATGGTGGAAATGTTTTTATTTATGTAAAGAGAAACACATTTGGTGACAGGTGACAATTCAGAGTATAATGCATATAATGCAGTACAGCACTCAGTCATTCTGTGCTGCTGATCGGATCAGTTTTTTCCTGTAGATCAACTTATTTAATATTATCCCTGCTGAGTCATGATTTAGTCTTCCCTCTTAGTTGTGTCTTTGTTTGGGGGGGGAAGTAACCTCTTTAAAGGGTACATATCATGCTTTTAAACCATTCATTTTTACATCTAAATCATACCGTTGTGGTCTATATAAAACATAACTGCAGTGCTTGGGTCTGAATTCCTCATTATTATAGCTCCACAGGCCCCTTTTCTGATGTGCGTCTTTGAGCGACCCGTTTCAAAGCGTCCCCTTTAAATAAAAAGGAGATGCGTCATACCCCGCCCGCTCTCCAGGTCGATGAGTTCACGGTCGGTTCAACTCCCCACGTTCGGCCATTATTGTAGCTTGATTAGAGATATACGATTATATACGATACCTTCAAAGAACATTTTTGTTCACACTTAAAATGTCAACAACAGAAGACTTGTCCATCAAGCCTTACATATTCGAGCCAGAGCGAGCGAGTTGATAAAGACGACGAACCTGCAGAACAACCACTTCTTCATATGAATATATTGGTATGTGAGTTACCTGTTTTGTGTTAGTCAATGTCCTTATTTGTCAGTTCCGCTGCAAATACGGTGACGCACTTGCTCAAAAAGCGTCATAGACAACAGAAAAATCTGAACAGGTTGAAAAATATGACCAAAACAGAATATAAAGATATAAACGAATCACCTGAAGAGAATAATTTCATCTTTTCTGTACTTATAAACACTCCAAATATACAACAAAATTCATTTAAGGGCTAAAAAAAAGTGTATTTTGCATGATATGTCCCCTTTAAGTGTGCATGTGACCCCATTACCTCACTGATTAGGAATGGGCATTGTTTTAGATCCGGGTATTGATCACCACAAGGCAGCTTTTAACCTGACAAGAAATCTCATCATGTTTTAATCTTAATTGTTGCTCAAGTTCTCATCACATCCCTACATATAAATCATTAGTTTACAATAAATGTCCTCATTTAAATGCTCTGCTCTTGTATTACAGCATGCTGACGGGGGCACAAACTCCCTAAATGAGAATGCAGGTGAAGATGTAATGGTGTGTATGATTATTTTATTATTATTATTATTGTTGTTATCAAAAACAGAAATCTCTGTAGGATAAGTTTAATCACATTCCTCTGTCTCTCAGGCTGATCACATGTCTAGTGGGTCATCAGATGACAGAGGGCAGGATCCACTGCATGAAATGGTACAGTTTCTTTTGTCATGCGGTAATTGTTCCACTTAGGAGGACAGACAAACTGAACTCACTGGTGTTTGGCTTACCTGTGACTTCTTGTGCTCTTCTATTATAGCATGTTGAGGGAGGCACAGACACTTCAGATGAGAGTGCAGACGAAGATGTAATGGTATGTATGATTGATTGTTTCATCATCATTATTATTATTACTATTTAAAACAGAAATCACTGTAGCATAAGTTGAATCACATTCCACCGTTTCTGTTTCTCAGGGTGATAATCAACTGGGGAGACCAGCAGACCACACAGGAATAGAACAACACCATGAATCGGTACAACATGCACAGTGATTGTTGTTGTTCACATAGGATAAATTAGTTGTATTGTTCTCCTTTTAAAATGTATGACTTGTGCTGCAGATTGCTGTGAGGGACAATAACACTGTTTTCTACGATAATGAGAATACAGATTCATCTGATGATGAAGCCTCAGATGAAGATCCAGTGGTGTGTGAGCCTGTCATGTATTACAGAGACAAAAAGTTACAAATAATAAAATCATCTTATGTCATTCAGCCTTTTCCTGTCTCTCAGGCTGATCACATGTCTAGTGGGTCATCAGATGACAGAGGGCAGGATCCACTGCATGAAATGGTACATTTTCTTTTGTCATGCGGTAATTGTTCCACTTAGGAGGACAGACAAACTGAACTCACTGGTGTTTGGCTTACCTGTGACTTCTTGTGCTCTTCTATTACAGCATGTTGAGGGAGGCACAGACACTTCAGATGAGAGTGCAGACGAAGATGTAATGGTATGTATGATTGTTTACATTATTAGATAGGTAAAGATGTATCTGACAAAAACAGTTCAGCAAATAATATATAAGTGTTTCTGGTGGTGTTATTAATATAGTGCTAATTTACTGCACATTCATTTATATCTCCAGAATATATTTGGCTACTTTCTGCATTTTTGTGCTATAGGTACAGTACATTGTTCCAGATCATATTCAAAAAAATTTTATCGAGTCCAAATGAAATTTTCAATCTATTATTTTTACAAATTGGCATTCTCAGGAAAGGGGAAAAAAGTTAAATATGACCCGGAAAAATGTACCTATAGCACACTAGCAGTAGCACTATACTGCCCTACAAAGCAAAAAGGCAGTAACTACGCAGAGTGCAGAACTGAGAAAAATGATTTTTGCTAGGGCTTTTTTGCAGTTACTGTACAAACGACTACCATTTTTATCTAAAACGACACGCATTTAAGATAAGATGTTTTGTCATATAACAAAGGATGCCTTGAATGTCATGAAAATTGTAATAATTAATGCTTTATCAAAACTGCAGTTACTGCCTTTTTGCTTTGTAGGGCAGTATAAGTATTTTACATATCTTGTATTTTATTTTCATACACTGTTGTGCTGTGTATACATTGATGTGTTGTGTATTGTGTTGTATGTTGGGTAATACTGTAGCACTTTGCCCAAGACAAATAAAGTTTATCCTATCCTTTCCTTTCTGTATTTTGCAACTTTCTTTATTATAGCACGAAGAACAGACTAACCCAGTTTCATCTGACGACGATACTTCAGAAGGTCCAACGGTGTGTTTTGTTTTCATTTTCATTTTACCATATAGACTAATGTACTTATTTTGTGTAAATATTGAAAATAACAATTTATTTTTCCATCATGTGAAGAGCTCATTGCATGGATAAAATCTGCTCTCAAAATACAAATTCAAGTCTCCTTCAAAAACATGAAGTAGACCTAGTTGACCTACCTCCAACTGTAGGTCCAACTGAGGTATTTCGGGTCCAAAATGTGTTAAAATAAAATTCTTTAAAAAATTGTAAAAATCGTGGCTTTAGCGGACTTGGTGACTTTATTGGTACTTGGTATATGAACACCGCCAAAATAGACAACACGACTGTTTTCAACATTGAAAATAATAATTTATGTTTTTTGAGCATAAAATCATCATATTAGAATGATTTCTGAAGGATCATGTGACACTGAAAACTGATGTGTCTTCAGCAACAGTAACGATGTTAAAAATTCAGCTTTCAAATTACATTTCAAAATATATTCAAATAGAAAACAGTAATTTTAAATTGTCATAATATTTCGCAATATTACTGTTTGTCAATTTTTTTTTTCATCAAATAAAGCAGCCTTGGTCAGCAGAAGAGACTTCATTGAAAATTTTTATTTTTGACCCGAAAGTTCTGAGTTTGAGTTATAAATTAAGTACCCCAGGGGGTTAAATACATATTGTCATGTAAAACAAAAGCATTATCAATGGGGGATTTCAGAATTGCCTGGACCCTATATTCCCATGTATTTGTGTTTAGGTTACTAATGGGATTTTTACCATGGTTTATTGTTAAACCGGTAATCATTCCATCCCTATACACCTGAAGTATTCAAAGAGCACCTGTATGTGATCCAGCGGCAATTTTAGCCCATTTTCTTAATTATTTATTTTGTTTGGTATTGATATATTATGACTGGATGGTAATAAATATTTTCCTTTGTAATTTTTAGGAGCATGTTTTTGACCCTAACTTCAATGATGAAAAGAAAATTTACGCTGGTTCTTCCGTTACAATGGGGGCTCTCCTTCTTCTTCTCTTGGCATTCATCCTGAAGCATGGCCTGTCAAAAGCAGCGATCAAAGACCTCCTGGAGCTCCTAAATTGTGTGGTGCCTGGATGTGTGCCAAAGTCTGTTTGGTTTTTAAAGAAACACTTTTTTGATTTCAAGGACAAGACAGAGCTTCATTTTTACTGTCCTAGATGTTCAGACTACCTTGGTGTTGAACCCGGTAATGAGTGTGGAGTGTGCCAGCAGACCTTCAACAAAAAAGCTCTAATTGAGAAGGCATACTATTTCCTTGTCATGCCACTCAAGGTTCAGCTAAGAAATATCCTGGCCCATGTACAATCAAAGCTACGGAAACATTTCACAAGAGATGGCTGTGTTTCTGATATCAACACTGGAACGGAATACAGACGCGAGACACAGGGAGTACACACTGACAGTATTACGCTAACCTTCAACTGTGATGGTTCCCCTGTGTTCAACTCATCAAAGACTTCAATTTGGCCCATTCTGTGTACTATCAATGAACTTCCATTTGTGGATCGATGTAAAAACGTCATATTGCATACGTTATGGTTCGGCAAAGGAAAACCCCCGGTTCACAGTTTCTTCACCCCATTCATCCGTGAACTTCAAAAACTAAGGGACACAGGATTCTGTTGGAAAGATGAAACTGGGTCAGAACATCACACCAAAGTAACAGCTAAAATATGTATATGTGATGCAGTTGCAAGGGCAATGGTGCAGAACTTTAAACAGTTCAATGGAGAATTTGGATGTGGTTTTTGCTACCACAAAGGGGAGATGGTACAAAAAGGCAGAGGTTTCACTAGAGTTTATCCTGTACACATAGTTGGGTGCGACCTGAGACATATGGCTGAAACAGTGCAACTTGCTGAGTTAGCGATGGAAAATGGTAATGACCAATCTCAAAGGGGTGTTAAAGGTCCAAGTCCACTGATCCTGTTGCCATCATTTGACATTATCAAGGGGTTTATTCCAGATTACATGCATTGTTTTTGTCTTGGTGTAGTCCGTCAATTTGTCAATCTTTGGTTTGACCCTCATTATGCCAACAAGAACTTCCACTTGACTCCTCGCCAGATGAATGACCTAGACAAAGTGTTGTGTAAAATTCAGCCACCAAATGAAGTTAGAAGAAATCCTAGGCGCTTAAGTGAGAGAACATATTGGAAAGCTTCTGAGTGGAGGGCATTTGCTCTCCTCTATTCTCCTGTAGTACTTAGGAATGTTTTACCAGGGCTGTACTACAAACACTGGATGCTTCTTGCATGTGCACTTCACATCCTCCTCTCCCAGTTTGCCACACAGGATGAGCTCAATTGTGCAGAGTTATGTCTAGTTCAGTTTGTAGCAAAAGTGCCTGCTCTTTATGGTCTCGAGCATTGTTCATATAACTGCCATTTGTTGACGCATCTTACCCAGAGTGCCAGGGACTGGGGTCTTCTATGGACCAATTCAGCATTTGTTTTTGAAGACATGAATGGCAAACTCTTGCAGCTGTATTCTGGCACACAGTCAGTTTCGTCACAGATTTTTAAGCATTTCTTTTCATATCAGAAGGTTGTAAGGAAAGGAAATGCTGTACTTCATGATTCAAGCAGAGAATTGCAAGATTTTTTTCTGTTCCATGACAGGTGACAACATTGTTACGAAGTCTTCATGTTACATCAGAGAACATTTAGTGACTTTGGGGTGTGGCTCTCACAGACTGTTAACTGCCAGAGAGATTGCTGCACTGCAAAACAGTTCTACGCTCACAGAGTACCAACATGAGAACAGTTCAACTGTATATAAGCGTTGCGTGTATAATGGTATGTTAGTCACCACCAGAGATTACAGCGTCAATTTCAAAAGAAACAATTCTGTAATCAAAACAGCTGATTGCTTTGGCATGGTAGAATCCTTGGTTGTTGTACCAAAACCCTGTAACTGTGAAAGAGGGTCTAACTGCTCTTGTAGAGAACTTATTATTTTCTATAAGCAACTAAAGCGGGAACACAGACAACCCGCTATCAATGATGCAGATATCAATACAAACATCGCAAAGTTTCTTGTGAAAGTAAGGATTTCAAATGAAATGTGTGCAATGACATGTGAGGACATAGTAGCTAAGTGTATTGCAATTGAACATGAGGGTCAGTTATATGTGATGAAAATGCCTGTGTTTGAGCAGAGTTAAATTAACGCAAGCTAACACCAGCCTCAAAAATGCAATTGTCTCACAGTAGTTGTCACATCCACGCAGTAGGGTTGAGGAAAACAAGTGTATGTATGATGATATAAATGTGTATATTTTTGTGTTTATGTAACACAAAGGGTCGTTTTAGATGTTGCTTGAACCCTCTTCAATCAGTTACTATAGTACTTGCGTGGGATTACAGTGTTTTTGTACTTCATAATACTCAGTGTGAGTTGTTTTATATTATTTATTTATTTATTTATTTGCTCAGGACCATAAATCAATGGATAGAGCACAAACAAGAAATAAAATAAATACCAAAGAAGAAATTATGACATATTGTTTTGTAAACAAAAACAAAGGTACCATGCAATATACCATGGTTATATCTGTACTAGGGTATGTACCATAAATCTGAGGGACCATATTATGTACCATAGTAACAGCTACAGTACCATACAATGTACCATGGTAATATGGTACTGCAGAATGCACCATGGTAACATCTGAGGTACTATGGTATGTACCATGGTAAATCTAAGGTACCATACTATGTACTATACAGTACCATACTATGTACCTTGGTACCATGGTAATATCTGAGGTACTAATGGTATGTACCATGAAGGTACTATGGTACTAGTATGGTATACCATGGTACGTACTAGAAACAGCTACAGTACCATACTATGTACCATGGTACCATCTGAGGTACTAATGGTATGTACCATGGTACTACTATGGTATACCATGGTACTACTATGGTATACCATGGTACGTACTATAGTTTTTCATGGTAAAATTTCTTATGGGAAATAACGTTGTATGTCTGCTCTACTGAAATGTGCGCATCTACCACAGACGCAGGACATCAGTTCTGACTGAATCGATTCAGTCAGAACTGATGTCCTGCGTCTGTGGTAGATGCGCACATTTCAGTAGAGCAGACATACAACGTTAGATCTGAATAAGAGTGAGGACGCTGTGAGGAAGAGTGAGGAAGAGCTCTAACGTAATCATTACGGTTTTCTGGGCGCACACACAGCGCGCGAGTCTTAAACTGCGCTCTCTTTCGTGTCTGAATGGACATAATACACAACATTATGTCTAAATGTCCATTTTGGACAGTATTCACGTAAACTATGTCGGTTATGTCTTAAAACAGTTGTGAGTGTATCGGATGTGCGTCAGTGCAATTCAGCATGTCATTGGACATGATCCGATGTGTGTCCTTAATAGTGGTCAAGCAACAAAAAAGAAAACTATTCACTGTTTGTTATAGCTTTAAGGATTAATTATATTTAATTCATACAAATAAATATGCTTGAAAGAATGATGTATGCAAGTAGTTCTAAATAATGCATATATCATTAATTAAAAGGAAGACTGTTTTACTTTATGAAAAGTGGTTTGATTTAATTTAAAGATTTTTTAAAGTCACAGTATTTAAATCTGTATCTGTATTGCATGTTAAAAATCATTCATATTAATAGGTGCTCTACTTCAGTTCAACCTACAATATTAAGCAATGTATTAACGTGTTTGACTATAATTAATAATTACTTTTATTTGGTTACATTGCCTGAGTATTTGCTCCATTGCTCACACCTCTAATATATGCATCTCATCTTTTGCAGTTGAAGTTGAAAAGCAGTTTACGGCAACCTCCTATTAATGGTAGGTAAGACTAGCATTACTTGCTCAATTCTAGCACAAACTTATTTGCATCATTGTCATGTGATATGTGCTAATTGTCTTTATTCTCCTTTTTAGGATTATGAATGTGGCAGTGCAAAGAATGCAGTTTGCAATTAGCTAGCAGGTATTTGTTGTTTGCAACATTTTAGGCAGGTTCATGGGAACTTAAGGGGCAGTTATTAATATCCATGTACATACACCGATTATTTGGTTCATCCACTCACACACCAATGTAAAACATGCAAGAAAACTACCAACTTGCTTGTTGGGGGCATTTAGGGGTTAGGCATCCTGTTCAGACTGAAATTACCCTCTAATCTAAATTAGACAACCTGCTCCTTCTCTGTGTCACCAGAACAACCACATTTGGCTAAATTGTGTCTCATTTTTAACCCCTGCTTCAGCGTGACAACATCAACACCAGGAGGGAGTGTATCCTGAGATGCATCATCTACCTCAATGAAGATCCAGACACCATCTTCAAAGAATATCTGGTAAATTCATCACAATATGTTTGTCATGTAGTGTTGAACTGTTACTCCCTTACGTCTCCCATGACACACTATTTATATTGACAGACCCTAGGGCTGGGCGATAAATTGATTTTATCGATTAATTTGAATGTGTAGTTTACGTCGATTTTATTTATTTTTTTAATGAAAATCGGTTTTCTCTTTAACAACCTCTGAGCTCCTGTGGTTCTGACTGGACTCAGGGCTTGCCAAGATAGAGATACACAAACAACATGGCAAATGAACACTGTGAGAGACGCAATTGTCACTTTTTACATGCTCTCATGCACACATGCATTTTCTCACGCAGAGAAAAGTTAGGCTACTATTCATATGAAACATAGCCTATTCTCATCAGATTCTGTCAATTTTATTACAAAATTCAAACAATTAACACCGTTTTGGCACTTGTCACTAAATATGACATGAAAGATCGCAGAGCTCAGTTCAAGCGGTACGTGAACCGATCATCTGTTACTCTTTACTACTAACTTACCGTAATGTAATAAAATCAATCGATCAGTGTTTTTCAACCGCGGAAAGATGTCCATTAAACAGCTGGAGAACAACATGTCACGTAACGTTACATTTACCTCAGGAATGCCCTTCAATTAGCCATAACATGCATGTTAGTTGGACTTAAAATAATTACTATAGAGAGGAGTATTTTGCTAAATATGATAACTATATTACACATTTATTATATTTTTACCTATATCATTCAAATATTATAATGTTGTTTGTTGTTATAAAAACACATTTAATTTGAGTTGGTTTTAACCTTTAAACCTAATACCAGCTGACAGGGTCTCTCTGTATTATAGCATTAAGTGATTTATTTTTGGAGAACAATTAACATAACACATTAAGGTAGGATATCTACTGTACCTAATATTTACCCAAACGAATTGATATTGAATCAATATCCGAATCAAATCACAAGAATTGAATTGAAATTTGTATTAAGCAATAATAAAAACAATAGCATACCAGTCTTTGTACCATGTAAACATTGTGTTACATAGTTAATAAACTTAATAAAATTGTTTAGTTACCAAATACTTTGACAATCACAATAAACATTGTGAGTTTTTTTTTTTTTTTTTTACACATCCCCCAATCCACCCATTTTATGTTATGTTATATTTACACTATTTACAATGACCGGGCCTGCCCTCTTGTCTTTTTGGCTTGTTGTTTCTGATTGCACTTTAATCCAGATAATATCCAGAAGGGAATAAAGTTAAAACTTGTTTTGAACAATTTCTTTGTCGTCTACAGATTGATTTTAAGTAGGGAGAGGAAAAAAATAGTTTTAAATCGTAAATGGGATATTTTTGTGAAAAAATCTGGGATTTTTTAGGCCAAATCGCCCAGCCCTAAGCAGCCCTACAGAGGTGTTCTTATGTACTGCTGTAGACAAGTGATCGTACATGTTTTTTGAATTTAGGGGGGGAGTGTGAGTGTGTGTGCTTGGAGTGGGGAGATTGTTTAGAGTTCTGTTGGCCTGGGGGATGAAGTTGTGCTGTTGATAATGGACAAATGCTTTTCTATATGTATTTTTGTGTCTGATGCCATCACCTGTGGAGCCCTGCATCACTTTATGTCACCTTATTTCTATGTCCATCTTTATTTAACACTTGCTGTGTTTTCTGTGTTTGTGGTGTTCAGGCACTGGCGACCGAGGATGCAGAAAGGGACCTAGCAACCACAGTCATGTGACCGGAAGTGATGGGGATCAGGAGCCTGAGGACGTTGGAGTTGTGGAGTCAAGTTCATTCTATTTGGCATCATTCACCATGGTGAAACTCAAACATCCAACAGGAAAAAAAAAACATTTTTTGATTGGAGGGGTTCTAAGGAAATGAAGTTCAAATGTAAATGTATTTCAATAAAAAATAAAATAAAAATAAAAAACCAGTTTTGTCTCACGTGTATGTTAATGGTTCAAATGAAAAATGATTTATATGTTTAATTAATGATCATTTCCAATAATTAAGTAAGTTTGAGTTGGTCAAATGAAAATCAATTTCATTTAGTTAATGTAATTATTTTATTTCAGCTGTATTTGGTAAAATTTAGTTAGGAGAACTCAATTACATACTGTTGTAAGTATTTGATAAAAATAAGTTAGGCTAACTCATTTAAATTCTGTTGAATGGATGTACTCAATTTGAGTTGGGACTACATATATTTATTGGATGGAAATCCTGCCCACAACTTAATTGAGTTCATCCAATGAATCATTTTT